CAATACCGCTTTCGAATAGCTCGCGTTGTGCTCAAACCACCGCCTTTCCTCTCTGCGATGGCTTTATGGGCCTCGCCGTCTAGCTGTTTCTGAGGGCCTGCTGAAATCTAGCGAGCTTCATATTTTCTACCATATGCATTTCTTTGCCTGTCCCTACCAATTCTTCTTTATGATTTTTAAGGTGAAACTTCTTTAGCGGCAGTTGGTTGGTTGGTGGTAAATTGGCAAATTCAACGGAAATGATAAAACAGAAATGGTGCAACTGAAATAATTGGGGCTGAAGCAAGTGCTTCTTGAGCGTATATATGGAATTAATTTAACAAAAACTTGCTAATAAAAGGTTAGCGAATAACACTTAGAAAAAGACCGATACAAGAATGAAAGTAAAGGTGAGTACGTACATAGACAAAGAAAAGGATAAAAAATGCAAAGGTAAAAATAAAAACAAAAACAAAGATAAAGGCAAAGGTAAAGATAAAGGCAAAAATGAAGACCAGGGTTAATTTAAACATTTTACTTATATAAGGAAAAAGATGAAGGGGAATATGTAAATGAAGAAAATGATAAACATAAAAGTAAAACCAAAGATAAATATATAGAAAAAGATGAGGATGGGGATACCGATAAAATTAAAAATGAAGATAGAGGAAGAAAGATTAAAGTAAAGGTAATTATAGAGAAAAGGATATAGATGGAGGCACTGAGACTCTATCTGGGAACTATTTTGAGATAATCGATATTTTTATCGGTTTTGTTATCGATATTTTTATCGATTTTGTTATCGAAATTGTTATCGATATTGTTATAGATTCTGCTATCGATATTATCGGAACTTATCGATATATTAATCGATATTTTTATCGATTTTTCTATCGATATTTTATGATTTTGTTATAGATTATTTATCCACTTATCGATATAGTAATCGATATTTTTATCGATTTTGGTAGATTTTGTAATCGATTTTTTTTTCGATAATTCTATCGATTTTCTAATCGATTTTGCTACCAATATTACTATCGATTTTGCAATCGAAATTTATATCGAAGTTGTCATCGATTTTGTTATCGATATTTTAATCGGCTTTGTGATCGATATTTTGTTGGATGTTACTATCGATTTTATTGTCGATAGAGTATAAAGATAAAAAATAAAGGTAATGGAAAACAGAATAACATAAATGTAATTAGAACGAACAGCGGTAGAGGTAGGGATCTAGATAGAAATAAAACAAAAAATATAACCTTAGGCAAAAACAGAAATATGTATGTATGTACATATGTATGTATGTATATTGGTTATGAGACAAAATAGATATCTATGTAGATACGTAACGTAAGTTTCACTTCTCCAGTGTGGCCCAGGCGCCCTTACTTTTATTTTATATGCAGCTATCTTTTAAAATATATGAATAACTTCCTGCTATAAAACTCCTAATTTCTTAAATTAAGTAATTTTTTCATTCCTTCTATTCTAATCCCCATAATATCAATTCCGGTCTCTCTTCCTTTTGACGCCCACAACTTTTCAACACCCTCCAATTCATTAATGCTTCAATTTCGATTTGTGACTTTTATTTTTATGCCATTTAACTTTTGTAATTGTTATTGACTTTGGCGCTTTCACGCTCTGTGCTCCGTGCGTCTGGCACTACTGCCTATGTTCGCATCTAATGGTAGTGGAAAAATGGTAATTTCAATGAAATAAATGTTATCGAGCTTGCTCATAGGCAGGCAGGCAGGCAGGCCATAACGGAAGCGTGTGGTTAAGTGCAAACAATGTAAGCTAATGCAAAATTGGTTTGCTAATTGATATTTTTATGAGTTCATTGATTGCCGAAGTTTTTGGTGTTTTTGGGCATTAATTTGGTTTTTTGCTAGTTTTTTTTTCTGGGGAAATTTAAAATTACCTACTTTGTTTGTTTTTTATTGGTTTTTTTGGATTGATGGGGTAGGAAACGCAAATGGGCAATTCTTAGAAACTTCGAATTTTTTTTGAAATTGTTATTTTTTTTTTTTAAATCGCGAGCGCATGTCTGAAATTTTTGGTATACGCCTCTTCAGCTGCTGGTGTACAAAATCCAGCTTGATGCAACATTTTAAAGCAACGCACCATACGTTTTTAACGTTTTTTACGCGTTTTTTTGGAAGTGGAATGTGGGTGCAATTTTAGTAAGATTTCGAAAAAATTTCTATGTAGTAAGATTTCGAAAATTTTTCTATGCCAAAGTCAATAATCGCACTGAGTTTGGTGTAAACTGATAAATCGATTACCGAGATACACATACAGTGAACCAAATAAAACCTGGGACGCGATATTTTAGTAAGTCTTGGCTATTTTTCTTTAGTTTATTTAACGTTTATTCTTTTTTTTATGAAAGTATAACTAGTTACTTAATAAACACGATATAAACTCAAATTTCAGACTTTGTGAAAAAATTATGAAAATTCTGCAAAGTTTGACCAAAGTTTCTAACTTCTTCATCAGCGTCTTTGGAAAAAATTTTGGTATTCAGTTTCGTAGCCCATCAAATTTTAGTAAAGCAAGTGCAAATTTGAAGTGTCTCGGACTAATCGTAAATTTTTGGCAATTATTATTTTTTGGTTGAGGGTGCTCTACACTTTTTTCATACAAAAAAAAAATTTCGGGCATAAATTGCCAAAAATCCGCGTAACTGATAGGTGAGAGGGAAGAAGTAAAGCTGTCACATTAAAGCTATTAAATTACGGCAGTGCTGCCACATATATATTTTAATACAATGATATATATTTAATACAATGAGATATCGATAAAAGTTTGGTATAGTAATCGAAACTGCCGACTGCAAAATAATGCAGTTGGTAACATTGCCGAATTCATATAACATAGAATTTAAAAGGAATATATTTTTATATTAACAGGTCTATTCTGCGCTGGTAATAAAAAGTATGTAACCGGTAAATAAAGTTCCTGTCAATTTTTAAACCCTTTTCGCATTCTGTGTATGCAATGCCAGAATTTCTACAATTCTTCAAAGCTGATTTGCTGAATATTTTAACTGCATTACCAACGTTCCTAGAATCGCGGTGACAAGAACTGGTAACATTTTTTGGTAATAAAATTTCCCGGGTACAAAATCTTCGGTAACGCGCAGAATATACCTGTAAGTATCGACAATTATATCGATTATAACATCCAAACTGAAATCGGTAAAGTTATCGATAATAATTCAGTACACAACTGATTAATATTAATTTAAATTTAACGCTGATACTAACAATAATTATAGCGATTATTCAATTCACATCGATTTGCCGAAAAGTATTCGTCCATACAAAGGATTAAAAAAAGTATATTCAATATCGACAATTATATCGACCACAACATCAAAAATTAAATTCATTTAAGGTATCGATAACATTTTAGTAAACCACTGAGAAACTTTAATTAAAATTTAGCCATAGTAGTATCGATAATTATAATATTATACTTAGTTAATAAGTATCGCTTTCAGTAAGTATATCGATAATACTATCAATTTAAATATTTACAATGAAGTTTTAAAATTCTATGGTATATTGAACTTAAATAAATAAATATCCACATATATTCATCGATATCGATATCCACATATATTCATCGTCGATAATTAACACCGAATTAAGAGGCATAATCGATGCTTATTGCTTCAATTTCGTCGATTCGAGAAAATGCTAAAATATATTTTCAGCGATGTACATACTTGTGTACTAACTATGCAGAAACAATTATGAGAGTATTCGATAATCTTTGTAAATGTACCGATAGCAATAGCGATAACATGGTACCAAAATATTTGATAATTTATTAAATAAATAAGTAATCGATAATTGTATATATATGTAGTTAGATAAATTTATCGACGATGTTATCGAAAAATAAATCGAAATAATATCGATAAAGCTATCGACGAACAGATTTTGTGCGGGGTTGTTCATGAGATCCTATTGCACATTAGCCAATCAGGGCTCCCTGTCAGCACCGACTTTTTGGTTGCCAAAGATTCACCAACGACCTGTGGGACACATATTTACATAAGACTAATATGTGTGTAATAGCATTGTTAAATATTTCGATTACAAGCGACCAAGGCAACCTATGTATACCTTGAAGTATTCATTTTTGCGATTTCTTCCCACCGATATCTGCTTTTTTATACCATCTTCTTTGTTCTCAAAATTAACACTTTTTAAAATTTGCATGCATTTAAAGTTGTAGTATTTATTCCACTCCTTTCCCACTTCCTCATTGAAGCATCGTCATTGCGGCCTTATCGACTGCGAATATGCAGTCACAAACTTTTCCTTTTTCCAATTCACTGCTAGATGAGGCGGACGAAAGAGGTTATGGACTATGCCACAGAAGTCATAATGGCTGATGGTCAACCTTCATTGGCTGCATTGGTCTCATTTGGTAATGGCTTTGACATCACCATAAGTTAGCTTATTTGCCTTAATTATCATTATATCCCAGCCAAGTAATTAAAAGTTTCTTTAAGTACTTTTTTCCAGCTGCAGTGATTTTTCTAATCCACCACTATTGGCATTGACTATTGCAAAAGTGAGGCGAAAAGAATGAAAAAATCTTAAGACAAAAGGGAAAAATTACAAAGAAGGTGTAGCAAGTTGTGGAGCGTTTGCGATGGCTGAGGATTAATAGGAAATGGCCAAGGATTAAATTTTCATAAGTTAAGTGTTCTGTCGCACCCGTTTAGAGCGATGCCGCTGTTGTTGAGAACATTTTGATATTTTAGATTATGACTTTTTTGACAACAAAAAGTGAGCTTAAATTTTTTCCCCTTTTTCACTTAAAATTCCTCTCAAAAGCTTTTTACGAATGCGTATTATATGTATCTTTACTTGCTTTACCTTTCGCAAAAATTTCAGCACTTTGTTTTTTTTTTGTGAATCATCTTACACTTCTCTGCCTCTTCCTTTCAGTTAAAAATTACTTTTAAATATTTTTTTTTTGTTTTTTTACAGAATTCTACAGAAAGCCCATCGCAAGCATAATATCAACATCAATTGCATGGACCCTTTGGGTCGACGTGCTCTCACTCTAGCCATTGACAATGAGAATCTCGAAATGGTTGAACTGTTGGTGATTATGGGCGTGGAGACCAAGGATGCTTTGTTGCATGCTATTAATGCTGAATTTGTGGAGGCTGTTGAACTGCTGCTGGAGCATGAAGAACTCATCTACAAGGAGGGTGAGCCCTATGTAAGTATGGGAATATTTCTAATTTTTTTTTCGAATATCTAAAAGAAGTAATTAAACTTCGCCGACTCGGATGTTAAAGCCGCAATATTGGCTACCAGCGCTAGGAACTTGTGTGAAAAGCTGAAAAACCTCCGCAAATTCAGGATTTTCATAAATAAATAAATCGACTGAAATTTCAAAATATTGTTAAATTTGTTTTACACTAAAATACATTTATCTTAATTTTGTAGCGGCAATTAAATCGATCGGCAGACATTTTGCATGCCACCTTCTATTCGAACATGGATTTGCACTACATTTATTAAATATTGACGTCTCGTTACGTTGGTATACTCACATACTTAAGCTGAATTTAAATATTAGCACACACACTAGCATTGATTTAGTATTTAGATATGACATGCAGGCGTCTCCGCTACTTGAACGCGTTTTCTGCCATGTCGACAAAATGTCAGCGCGATTAATGAGTTGACAACTACGTACCATGCGGACGTAGATGGGCAAGTGAAAAGCTGCATTTGAGAAACTTATAGTCAGAAACTGAGATTGGTATATACAACCATACATATGTGTACCTACATTAGGGTGTCAAATTACAATTTTTCGCACGGTGAAATGTGGAGTTGGGAATGAAAAAGCATGCCATTTTTTAGTATGAGAATAGCTGAATCCGAAAGGTCCCGGACTCAGCATATAAGCTTTGGAAAAAAGGTACAATATGGACCATCCCTTTCTGAATTTTTTTTAGATCGCAATAAAAGTATACAACTTCCAATCCAACGAGCTATTTCTCACCCTCCTTAGATTTTTGATGTTATGCGTCTCATGATTTTGTGTACCGATTTCAGAACTCTATAGTTCTTTGGAAAACAAATTTTATATACTTTTTGGTACAGAAACATTTGGAAGGATACGGGTCTCGAAATGTGAAAAGTAAAAAAGTGCACAAATTCGTCCGTTCTAAAAACTGGCATGCCCAAATTCATATTTTCCGTGCGTATAATTTTGAATTCACGACTTAAAAGTTTTACATACGACGCTAACCTGAAAAACATTCAGACTTATTTTAGTGTGGGAAAAGTCGCAGAATTCTGATTTGTAACGAAGGCATATATGGAACAGGTAGTAGCTGTAGAGCAGCGAATTTTCTTCTTCATATTATTTGGTCTCTAAAATGTCAAACATTTTAATTTGTTTTTACAAAAATCTAAATTGTCAAAATCTATTTGCATGTTAAACCTATTTGCATACAGAAGAAGCGATTGAAAATCAGTTTTGGTACGTTCGCCTAACTCAGAAGCCCAAACGCTGATTACTGGGCCTTGCAAAGGATGGATCAGTGCCTCTGGAAGCAAACAAATTTTCAAAGAAAAAAAGTTACAGCAATTTCTATTTATTTTACTTGCAAATACCCGGCGTACTCCACTGTATTTTTATGTTGTTACTCCTTCCCTAAACTCTTATGGCTTCATTCATAAATAGTAAAATAGATTTAAAGAGCTTTATGTAGTGAGATTTTCAAACAAATTTTCGATTTTTGAAACATACTTTACATTTTATGATTATGGGTGTTAGTTAATACATATATTTTCGAAGGTATTTAACCTGACAATTTAATCTATACTCTTACAAATCGATTCTACATATCGTGCAATTTCTTTAAATGGGTATTAACTCAGTATTTTCCTTATCTCGTGACTTTAATTGAATACAATTTTTCAAAAAGTTTACAACCTGCTACAAAAATATTTTCGACAATAAACTGTATTCTATCAACTTAATAATTGGATAACATTTTTAAAATAGGTGGCAACCGTCCACAGCAATTTGTTTGGCTGCAAACTTTATTAAACCTCTTTAGTTTGATAGCCATATTTAATTCATCTTATCAATGAAATATTTTGTAATAATTGCAATATTTAATTTATCTTATGAATTTACTTAAACTGCAACTTTCAAACACGTGGCAACTCTCTAATAATTTTTTTCTATATTTTACGCGAGACTTTATGCAATGTATCGGTGAAAACTGGATTTGATTCCATGCATTAGATACCATGCATTAGATACCGAGTGATGCGCGTACAAACGTACAGAAAGAAAGACAGACAAAAATTCATAATATTGTTCATTTGGCTTCTGTTGCTCTAATAAAGTCCCCCATATCAATTTTTCTTTACTACATAACAGGGTAGCCAAGTCATTTTTGAAAATTCCCCGATTTGGACAATGAAATTCCCGATTTTGCCCGAAATTTCGTCAAATTACACACCCATGGCCATTTCCTTATAAACAAAAAAAAAAAAATTTTACGTATTTGGACATTTCGCAGGTCTGTTCGTTTTATTTTATTTTTAAATGTTATTAATCTATGTATGTATTCATAAATCAAACCAAACATTTATAAAGTTAGTTAACCAACAAAAAAAAATAGACATATAATTTTTACATACATAGTGATCGAAAAAATTTTGTCGCCCTAAATTTTGACATGTTTTCACAATTATTTTATTTTTTTGTTATTAACTTGAGTTTGTTTTTATAAAAACATAGTTAATTCTTTAACAAACACCGAATAAATCCAAGTGTCAAATGCAACTTTTTTTGCAATAATAAAAAAAAAACAATAAAAAGAATCAACAAACTTTCATAAAAATTGTGATCTTGCTAGATTTCAAGAAAAAATTTGAGTATGCAGTTTTGCAGCCCATTCAATTCTAGTAAAGTATAAAGTGGCTAGAAATTTTCCTTTTCCAATTTTTTCCAAAGGCGTTGCGGTTTTCTTCCATAAAAAAAAAAAAATGTTTTTATTCGTTATATGAACGCAAATGCAACAAAGGAAATTCTAAAACAACGGTAAATTGCATAATTTTCAGGGTTGCAGCTGCATTCATATGCAATTTCGTTTACCTAATTTTTTCACCTCATTATTATCAATTAGTGAAGGAAAAAAGAAAAAATTAATTAATACCAATGTAATTCCTCACGAAAAAAACAGTTCATCCCCCGATTCCGCACGTAAATTGGAATTTCCCACAAAAAGCGGTCCATGCCGAGAATTCCCTACGAGTTGGCTTCCCTGATACATGCATACATATCTATAATGTATAGAAATAAATTTTACATACTATGTAGATATAAAATTTTATTATTTAAATTTTTGTTTGCATTTCACATGGCACACTTTGATCTTAAACAAATCAGAATGCGTTTCTTTTTGACACTTTAGAGTCCAGAAGCAATAAGTTTCAGTAAGCATTTCACATGACACACTTTGATCTTGAACAAATAAGAATACCTTTATTTTTGACACTTTAGAGTCCAGAAGCAATAAGTAATTACACGTTAATCTTGTTTTTGCTCTAATGCTATATCCTGTTGCTTGGTTTTAAACCTCAAAAAACAGTGAGAAAAGGGAATATAATAATAATTTTTCACTTAAATTTGCTTCGTGAAACTGGCTATAAGTAACCTTTCTCAGAGTCATATATATGACGAAAGAAAGACTAATTTAAGACCCACAAACCCTGAGCACGCAAAAAACAATTTAAAAGGTGTGACCGATCTAATGTATATGGATACATACATAAGTAAACTACATTCACATAAGAGTATATACTATGTCGGCAGCAGTGCGTATGTATATACATTGTTATATGACACACATGTCGTACATAACTATTATTGTGTGAAAGGCGAGACGCTGGCTGTCAATAAACTTTATTAATACAACACTTGTCGTCATTTTGTGCCGGCAGGCATTGCCGAAGGCGAACAAAAGCATGCATCCCAGTAGTGGAAATGATCACTGGTGACATCGTCGCACTTGCAGTGAATCCTAAACGACATATAGCTGACAATGAAACTGGTGACATTGTTATGCAGGTGCACTTCTGTCAGAGACTTATAAGAGACAATGTCTTGCAGCGGTCACTTATAAAAAGTTCATAGCACGAGATTGTCGCTTGAATGTCATCAATGTTCAAGTCATACAGAGGCCATCAATGACTAAATTACCATTTGTATGAAAAAGTCATGAACGACTTCCATATAAACAGAACCCAAAGTCAGTGAAGACTTAACATGGCCATACAAGACACTTAAGCTAATATTGCATGACATTCGCTACAGGGATAGTATGCACTAAAAAACATACGTACAATGTATGTATATAAGCATAAGGATTACATAAAAATTCCTTCTTATGCCACTTCAACCTACACTAACCTATGCCTACATGTACAAGACACCATCGATATGTATATGTTGTAGGCCTAACACTTTAGCGCCAGAGAGTCTGCCTACATATGAGCATACATGTGTATGTATATATGCACATCCCACTCTTAAGGTCCTTTAGTACACATAGTTGCCTCGTTAGTCACGTACTTATCACCGATTTTTAAACAGACGACAATTCTTTGCTGAGCATTTTTTTCAAATATTCGTAAAATTAAAATGCATTTAAATATTTATGTACGTACACGTATATACGTGCATATTATGTAATAGAATTTGAAATTTGAATAAAAAATTAACAGTTGGTATATATATATTTGCATAAGTTACCGGCCAAATTCGATCTTAGGACCTACTAGTTTTTCCTAGGCTATCAAGTTGGACGCAAAAATATTGTAGATTGCGTAGCTGGAGTTGGACTGATGGGGGCTGTTTTTTTTTTGAAGCATGGCTGAAGGCCGCTTACACGGTGTGTGATTTAGGTTAGGCTAGGCAAAACTAGTTTGTCTTAAGATTGGGTTTGGCCGGTTACAAACACATATGGGGTGTTCCATACCAAAACGGACGGAGTTCACACTTAATGTGTTTGACTTATTTCAAATTTTTAGGATTCATGGATAAACATAAATAATAACTAGATATGAGATTTGAGCTTGATTAATACATTTTTAAAAACTTTACAGCACAAAAACGAAAACATATCGATTTAAGAGTTTTCAAGATATCTTGAGAACGGGGCAAGGAAAAAATCACACATTAACACATCAAAATTCTCTATTAAAAGAAAGATTTAAAAA